TGTTGCTGCCGGCTGAACAGGGTTCGACGTTGGCCGAAAGTGTCGTTGCTTAGTGACGTGAACGAAAGCTGCTACTCGTTTGAAAATTCCGACGTGGTGTCGTTGTTCCTGTTCGGATTTTCCCCCCGCTGCTTCTCGTGACGGCGAAACTCGTTGGAAAGGACCACCGCCGCCGGCCTCTCAGCGAACAGAAAACTGCTGCTACTCGTCATTCAACGGGGTTGGGTCTGCTCGACGTGGACAGGTGCTCCCGGACGGCTTCTGCTCGCCGCTTGGATCGAGGATTGCCCGACTTCAGGCTATCGGATTCACTTCTCCGGCGGGTCGTGAGGTAGACGGTCGGACGTCGGCTACTGGAATTAGCGATGTACGAGCAAGGGAACTCGAAAGCCTGATGTGCGACGGCGAGGAGCTGCGAGGGAGGAATTGGGATTAGTGGCGATCGACGGGCTGAGATTGAGTGGATATTTCTGAGGTTTTTAGACGATATCTGATTGAAGAAGATAGAGCTCTCAACCCTGCTATGGTCGACGCGAAAGAGAAGAATATTGGGCAACAAATTCTACCAAGTGGGGCCCAGATTTACTTGCAATTCGGACCGAAAAATTCAAGCGTTTATTAGTCTCAAATAGTACTAAAAGGCCAAAAATTATAGCTTAATGGGGCCGAGAAATTAAGGCTAACATTGGGCTTGATAAATTCTAAGAATCGAGAATAAATAAACTTGACGAAACCGAAATCAGATTTAAAAGGACTTCAACGTCTTCTTAAATAAATAAATCGAATAAAATAGAATAGCTAACAAATATATTTAATAATTCGATAATTTAAATAGACACTAACGTTTAAATAAATTATTTCACTTAACGGATCAAATAGACACTAACATCTAATTAATTCGAAGAACTTGTCGAGCATAGAAAATTAAAAATGCAGCTAACTACATAAATAAAGTAAATAATCAAGATATCTCAATAATTCGATTGGGACGCTACAAGTACATGTATAAATGAGCCAAACCGAGCTCAAGCCTTTAACGAGCTAAACTCGCTAACTAAACGAGCTAGTAATCAAACTCGAGTTTGGCCCGTTATCAATAATAACGAGTTGACAAGTCGAACTTGAGTCTTAACGAACAAATAGAAAAATATGCAATAATTCTTATTTTCAAGCCTTAACGAACCGAGTCATGCCAAGCGTTAATTAAACAAGTTTTCAGGAACTCAAGGTTAGCTCATTTACCAAACGAGTCAAGCTTAAAATCAAGCCTGAACGAGCCGTACCAACCCAAGCTCAATGATTCGTTTCGTTTAACAGCTCTCTAATGTTGATTAGACAGCTCAAAGTCTAGTATTGTGAAATTTTCACCCTATCCATATTATGCATCACATGATGGATGATGTGATGCATTTACAAATATAATATTACCACTTAAAACATGTTATTTATTCAATTGATATCATTTCTATGAAGGTTGCTTTTCTTTAGTGAGAATGATGTAAATAAAACCAGAGAATACAAAGTTACAAACAAAATATCCTTGCCAGGTACAAGCATTTCTGATCAAATTTACCATCCAAATTGTTACCAACTACATTTTTGCTATAATACCGATATTGTTTTCATCCCGATGAGTGTCTCAGCAGCCGCGTAAAAGAAAATTCATCTCTATATCCATGTAAAGAGCCCGAATCAGTAAAGAACTTGAAAAAGGCAAAAGGAAAAGTATTATCACCAGTTAGAATCAAAGTACGTCGAGGCATTCGTGTATGGTCAATATATATACTAACAGCAGCCGTTGGGTGAGTTCTGAGTACCCTGCAAAAATTTACAATGCCATGTAATTCATCTATGAAAAAGGTGAACTACAAAACTTTCCAGTCATCTTTAAGAAAATGCAAACTGGGGTTTATTTCCAAAAAAAAAATTGGGAACAACTGGTCTCAAATTGATACTTGCAAAATCTCGAAATAAATAGTATATAACTAAAGTTGGCATATAACGAACTCGAGCTTTTTTCTGACCAAAATACCTTTACTTCCTCGAGAAGTTCCTCGAGTTCGACTAATATAACACTAAAGGAAGGTCGATCGCTGGGAAGTGCTGCCCAACATCTCTGCATTAAGCCTAATAACTTGGGATGCGCGCTTTTCGGGAGTTCAGGTCGTAGACCCTAGCACACACGTGTGGAGAGTTCAATGTGTGGAAAACGAAAGAGTAGTAAATTGATCTGTGTTTTTACTTTTTACAAAACACACACAGTTCACAAATTGCATAATTTCACCGCTAAAAAGGACGCTAAAAATGGAGTTCTACAAACCTGTCTCACCCCAAGGGCAGCTTGCAGAGGAGTCATGGTGTCGTAAGGAACCTGGAGAAAATAAATAAATAAAATAAGGTGTGTTTTCATGCAAGTATCTCGAGTTTTTGGGATACGAAGTTATAATCATTTTCTCCTGACATGATATTGAAAGAATATTCACCTTAGCTGTGATGAGCTCCCATAGAACAATTGCAAAGCTGAAAACATCTGCTTTTTGGTCATAAGGTTGATGATTTATCACCTGCCAAGTCGAGGACGGAGAAAACTCAGACTACGAGCCGACAAAGCAAAAACTTGCCTATATTTCAAATAAATAAATATTATATATTGTGCCGAATATTTTTAAATTTCGGATATATAGGGATTCCAGATCCCGCAAATGTTGTGCCTTGATATAACTTGATGCAGATTTCAACTATGCACTGACTTTCACAACTACAATTGAAAAATGGATCAAGGATAGAATCGCCCAATTGAAAATTATATTAATATTAAAATTTTATACAACAAATTACAGATAAATAAATTCGGAAAGTCGCCTATTATATACCTCAGGTGCCATCCATCGATATGTTCCTGTTTCTGCTGTCATAACCCCACCTTTATTCTGGAACCGAGCAACCCCAAAGTCCGCCACCTTAACAACCTTCAAACAAATTCACGACAAACATCAATACATGTCATATCACGAAACTATAGATCATGCAGCTCGCAAATTTCCAGATTTCACGAAATTCAAAAAGAGCGTGATCTCATTGTATCCAAAAAGCCAAAATGCAATTTAAATCCGGAGAGAAATAATCGGGTGTATCTATGTAACTCACGTTGTGAGTATTCATGAGCAAATTTGCGGTCTTCAAGTCCCGATGGATAACATTCTTCTGATGTAGGTACTCCATGCCTCTGCAGACATCGATGGCAAACTTGAGCAACTGAGGAAGCTTCAGCACGTGATGATTCTTGTGCAAATATTCATAAAGGCTCCCTCCAGGCATGTAATCTAGAAAATGAGATGATTTAAATATAATGCAAAATAGAATCTCTTTGGCGGATTTAGCTACCTTTAGAAATCATATAATTCGCAAAGTTTCGCATCACGAATATTGTTAGTCGGTAACTTCAGGTTAAAAAGCAGGTCAATTTGATCCAGAATGAAGGCAAATACCTGTTACTATGCATAAATTTGGCAATTTCGTACAAGCCCCGATGAAACGTACAACATTTTCATGGTGTACTTGTCTGCATCCAAAAACAAATCAAAAATCAGTAAGTGCATTTTACACTTATCAGAAAAATAATAATAATAATAATAATAATAATAATAATAATAATGATAAAAAAAATTGAATATAGTGGCATCTGATTCTTCTTTTACTATCCCTCCCTATATATTAATTCAAAACATGTTGAGCCTAAGTGGCAGATTCTCACGCTTCGGATGTTGACATGGCGAAAATCTATGCTTTGTGATGTTGTTTTTGTATTATTTTTGCTCTGGAGTTAGGTTTGGTATTAGACATAAATAACTTTACACATATATTCATTAACTCAACAGTCAACACCCATGTTGTACATGGGTATTAGTACTAGTTTCTTATTAAAGTGGAAGGGTATGCTTCAGACAGTTAACCTAGTTCGCATCAAAGATCATAACTCTGTAAACTATTTACAAAAGATCATAACTCTGTAAACTATTTACAAAGCTCAACCTGGGAAAACATCCAAAATTCAACAAAGCACTTACAAATGATCTTAACTGAAAACAAGCTGCAACAATCGATACCTTAAAATAGCAACCTCCTGTGCAAACTCAGCCTCCATAGATTTATTCAGATGCTCAGACCTTAGGACCTTAATAGCAACATCCCGACCAAGATACACTCCACGATACCTTGTCCATGCAAACACGTAAAAGCATAAGAAAAATAACAAATTGGAGCAAATAAATCGATAAACACATCGTATCGGGGAATAACTCACTGATCTCCACAAGATCCAGCAGCAATTTTTTCCCCCATCTTCAACAATCTCCAGTCGATTTCCCAATCTTCTTGTTTCGTTTGCTCCGCAATGATTCTTTCCACGATTGAATGAGAGCGAGAAGAACCGGAAGAACCGGACCATGATCCCTAAATAAATGTAAAGCGGAGAATTTGGTTTAAGCAAAATAGAACTCCCTCAGATGGTAATGTGCAACTCTTGAAAGAAAAAAAAAGAATAATTTTGAGAAGTCACATATGCCATTTAAATAGGTAGTGGCAAAAGGGAGGGAAATTCACATAAGCTTCTTAATGTTAATTAGCTTTCATCTGTTTTCCAGTTGATGAGGGGAAACAGACGTGAGGAAACAAATGCAGATACAAAAATTTCAGAGGGCTAAATAATTTAATTAAACATGTGTTTCCTATACAATAAACTATTAGACTATTATCCACATACAAGTAACATGTATTAGAATGAAGGGAGGGAAATATATGGATAAACTGAGCTAACTTCAAATGAAACTTCAATACATGTTGCATTTGTGTCAAAAAGCTGTGACATTGCTTGCCAAACAGCAAACTACCAAGATTCAATCAGTTGAAGACTGAACCTTTCCAGGATTGGTTTATTGGCAGCCAAATAAAAATAAACTTAAATCTAATCTAGTTAAAGCAACTCCAATAAAACTCAAAAGCTAATTTATGACTGAGATCAAATAAAATATTTTATGCAGAATCAATATTCCATCTAAGAAGACGTAAGCAGTGCTTAAATAATGAATTATGAAATTTGCAATGAGCAACTAATGTTTCAGACTTAAAAAAATATAAATGAACATAGTTATATAAATTCGCTAATCAAGAAAAAAAAAACAATGTATAAAATGGAATTCGGTGAACCATCTAACTTAAGAAAAAACACACATATTCATCTAGGTGAAAGGTCTGACATGAAAGCAAAAATAACGAAATATAGAAAGTCCAGATAACTACCTCGCATCCAGCAATTGCTTTCTTCACTGCTTCATATAATCCTTCTGAGTCCTAGCCACGATATTGCAAACTCAGCAACATCCCACAGAAAAGCTCCTCACTATAAACTTCACATAATTGATGTAATACCCTCTCATGTACTGATTGCCGCTCGAATGACAGGCAAATAAAATGCAATCGTTCAATAGTACAGTGATGTACATTTTCCTTAATCATAATAATACATGAAGATAGATAATTTCCAGCCAATGCACAGCCAAGATATTGTCTTAGGTTAATCTCTATTTGATCAAAAGTTTTAGATTTTTTTCTACTATAGATCGAGGGAGGGTAGATTTTTTATTAAAAAAATTTGATAGAAAAACTGAGATACCTCAGCATGCCATCCGTCAACAACAAATACATCTAAAGAGTAGCCGTCGGTCGTAGAAAATACATGAGCTTCACGGATGTTAAGCCCGATATCAGACAGCAAGGCAGAAAGCTGCAAAACAGGATAAAGCAGTTCAAAAAATTCAGAAATAAAGGGAAAAATTAATTTGCATCGTCAGTTGCTAAAATCTGAAACATCACAAATGGGCAGAGATGGTGATACAGATAATGAAGAACAAAGGGGAAAAGAAAAATGGAAAAGGAAACAAAACAAAGAATAAAAGGATGACTAACAGATACTTCAGTAACAACTTAATGAGATCAATCGACAAACATATTGAAGTCTCTCATTTCGTTAGGAGAATGATGAAATACCATTTTACACAAAAATTCGGCATGGAATTAATATATTCACTGTATAGCAGAAAACAAAAAACAGCCAGCATCTGCTCAATGACCGGTAACTCGGTAAGGACCTCAAATATAACAAACAAACAAACAAGCAAATTTTTTATACCTGACTAAGAAGTTTCGGCTTGTCAAGAGTTGAAAATATCACTTCATGAACTGGTGTGTGCACTTCTTCCTGCCTGCTTTAAACATCTCTCAATATTAAACTCAGTACTCAAACATATACCTACTGTATAGCTATTAGTATAATGCAAATGAAGCAGTTGGCAAATGTCATGTACCCGATATTGGGATTAGATTAGTATTTTACTTAGTTATTTATATTAGTTTATGTTATGATAGGTAATGAGTGGGCTTTAGTTTTTATATTAGTAAGTATTGTTGGGCTTTTGTAAGGAAATTCTATAAGTGTAATGTGGGAAAAAAAATGAAGGGGAAGAAAAATATCACAAATCTATTTTCTCTCTCAATTTCTCTCTCCTCTAACTCTCCCTCTCTCTAGAATTCTCTCCTCTCCTCTCACGTGTTTCTCCCTTCTCTCCCTCCCCAATCTCTGCAATTTTCTTCTTCTCTTAGCTAAGCCCAGAATATTATACAAAAATACAGAAAAACAATACAAACAAATTCTAGAAAAATCCAAGTTCATAACAGCAAACTATTAGTTGGTTAAGTCAGAAAATTTTCTTGGAAACTAAGAAACTTGAAAACAATCCATCAAAGCATATATATATATATATATCTTTAGGTTCCAGATTGAGGTCAGCAAGCAGGTTACAACCAGACTCCCTATCATATAAAGTAAAACCACATTCACATCTCAGTGTTTTGAAGTAATATCTAAAGGACCAAAAACTTTTGTCAAATTCCGTGTCTCTCGACTTGTAGTTCTAGATATAAATGAGATTTTTAAATCCTTAATCAGTCTCAATTTCTTCACTATAATGCTCAAGCTTTATCTCACCCTCGAGAGATATCAACTAAGAGTGAAATAATGCACCAAAAGTTCTGAATCCTCAAATACAACTAACGTTTAATCATTAAGAGCTAAAATAATGAGCAGAACACCATCAAAATTGGAAAAATCACCTTGAGATAGGATCTTCAGCAGAAGTCTCATTGTTTGTGTCATTTGAATTCTTCCTAACATCCAAATTTAGATCCTCGAGTTTAGTGCAAGTCTCAAACTCACCCCCAGAATTCCTGTTTCCAGACACAAAGAGTAAAAAGAATAAGGGTCCCATGCACGCATGTGAGGGCATTCGCACTCGTGCAGGCATATATATATATATATATATATATATATATATATATATATAATATAATATATATATATATCGTCCCTTAAAGCACAAAGAAAAACTAATCTTTTAGGAAGTGAGGATCTATGAATTGTCTCAATAACAAGTACCTGCCCTGCTGTAAAGATTGGGCACCATTATTGACAGTATTGCCTGGAAATGGGACAATAGGATCTGGAACTGGTTCACCATCAGACTCATCACTTCTAGTACAAACGTTCTGAAGAAAAATTCACAATGAACATGAAGAGAATTGGCATAAGGTACATATAGAGATCAAAAATTTATAACTATGAATAACTGAAAAGCATATCAAATGAGTCAAATTCAAGGGGATAAGATCCAGCAGCTTCTTGAAAACAACAAGCATTTCGGCAATAGAAAATCTATAAAGTAGTGACTTATCATGTTAATTGTTAAACCAAAATAAATAAGGGAAATCCAAAGCTGCAAGCATCTTCCGGCAGGACAAATACAGAAAGGCCCCAACTTCTCTGCAATTGGTTTACTGATAGTTGAGACACTTGAAACAGCAACAGCCAGAGTATATGCTTATTATGAACGATGAAGGTATATTATCCCTAGGGTACTGGATGATGAAGACCATCACAGAATTCAATCTATCAGGCCAACCTTCAGTTAAGTTATTCTTCATAAAGTTT